GAGGTGGTGGTAGAGGTGGTAATGCTGGTGGAAATGATTTTGGTGTTGAGGGTGGTTTTGGAGGTGATGTTGGTGTTATTGTTGTTAGTGATGTGTCTGAATTGATTTTGTTCTTGGGTATTCGCTTCGGTTCGAAAATTGCTCGTATTTTTTTTTTAATTATCTCCTATCGCGTACGCACACATGCAAAAACAGATAATAGTCAACACACACACTCACACACACATTGGAGAAAGAGAAAGAAAGAGAGAGAGAGAGAGAGAGAGAGAGAGAGAGAGAGAGAGAGAGAGAGAGAGAGAGAGAGAGAGAGAGAGAGAGAGAGAGAGAGAGAGAGAGAAAGGAAAAAATGGAGGAAATAGACAAAATGATGAAATAAATCCATATAAATATCAATAATAAAAAATGAATAAGAATTATAGGAATATCTGAAGAAATAATGAACAGTAAAGACATAAAAGAATAGAGGACAGACTACAAGAGAAAAAAAAGAAAACGAAAGGCAGAAGAAAGGTAACAGAAAGTGGGAAAAAGGAGCGGGTATTCACAGAGAACGGGTCATTACGCGGAAATCTAAAGCATAAACTATTATAATCATTTCTACTTCCTCTTCTTCCCTTCCCTTTGAAAAGTCTAGTCTGTTTCCGGCATTTGGTTGGCGTAGTTTTGTTTTTCTCTCGTATGCTTAACTTTCTCTCAAGATGATGGGGAAATCATCCTTATTTTCATTCTTGCTTTTATCCCGATTTGGGGGTTTGTTCACTTTTATTTCTTCCTTTTACCTACTACAGCTATCTACATTTATTTACTTTCTGCTCTTGTTCTAGCTCTCCTTTTCTGCTCTTCTCTCTTTCTCTTTCTCTTTCTCTCTCTCTCTTGCTCTCCCCCTCCTTTTTATTTACCTTTGCCTTTTCCTCCTTATCCTTCTTCCTTTTTCTATTTCCCCCGTTATTCCCCCACACTTTCCCGCCTCGTGCCCGCGCTCTCCCACGGAAGAACCACGAGGGGGGGGGAGGGGGGGGGGAGAGGGAAGAAGGGGGGGGGGGGTCAGACTGCCTTGGGTGATTACTTCCGGATGATTCAGGAATGTTTAATGTTCGATTCCATACGGCATTCGGGGGGGGGGGGGGAGAGGTGGGGGAGTGGGGGAGGGGTTGAGTGGGGATGAGGATGATTGGGGATGGGGTGGGGGTGGGGAGGAGAGGGGTGGAGATGGGGCGGGGGTGGGGAGGCGAATGGGGAAGGGGTGAAGGGGGAAGAGTGGGGGTAGGGGTGAAGATAGGAGATGGGGAGGGGGCGTGTTGGTGAGTGTTGGACATAGTGTAGGGGGAGGGGAGGAGGAGACGGCAAAAGAGCGAGAAAGGACGATAATAAGCGTGAAGAAAGTGTATGTGTACATCATGCGTGTGCGTACAGAAACATGTGCATCTTCGTCTACGCCTGAAAAATAATTAACGCGTTTGATACCAATTTACGAAAACTACCAATACCGTTTTTACGAAAAAAAAATGAAAATGAATATCATTTACAAGACAGCTGTCATGCAAAATATATGACACGGAATTTCGAGTCACTGCAATAAAAAATTGCTAAAAGGATTCTTTTTCTCGGAAACTTGAGCCAATTCATTATAATTTTTCATAAACCTCATTTCACAGACGTTGATAAAAAAAAATAAAGCTAAATTACGGATTTTTTCAAAATGATTTTTATAACTTTTGTGACTTTCTTTATGAGGTTAACTGTTAGAATAATAGCAAGGTCTATAAACCTGACTTTGGTCGTTCCCCGAAACGGATTTCTGTTCCTAGTTCTTGGAAACTGTTTCCCGCGACAATAAAAGGATTATGGTGGAACATTTCGCACCATTTCTTTATATTCTCTCTCTTCTTTCTCTCTCTCTCTTTCTCTCTCTCTCTCTCTCTCTCTCTCTCTCTCTCTCTCTCTCTCTCTCTCTCTCTCATCTGTCTGTCTGTCTGTCTGTCTGCCTCTTACCCTCACTCTTTTTCTTTCTCTTCTTTCCCTTTCTATTTCTATTTTTATTTCTCTCTCTCGCTCCCTCTCTCTCTCTTTCGCCTTTCAACTCACCTTCAACATTTTCTTTTATTTAGTGCAGACATACAAACACATATTCATTAAGTAGACAGATAAATAGATAGATAGACTGATTGAGAGGTACATAGATAGATATATAAACAGACTGAGATATAAATAGATATATAGATAGGCAGATTGACTGAGAGATCAATCGATAGATAGATGAGTAGAAGCGCCGTAAGAAAAGAAAATATCTAAGACGTTTAGTGGGAAAATAGCCACATTTTTTCACACGTTATTCTATTTTTTTTTTCTCTCTCTCTCTCTTCTTTCTTCTTTTTCTTTCTTTCTTTCTCTCTCTTTCTTTCTCCTCCTCTCTCTTCTTTCTTCCTTTCTTCTTCTCTCTCTCTTTTCTTTCTTCCTTCCTTCTTTTCTTTCTTACTTTCTTTATCTCTTCTTTCTTTCTCTTTCCTTCTTTTTCTCTCTCTCTCCCCACTTTCTTTTTTAGAAATAATTGCGTAAATACACATTTATAAGCGTGTACACTTGTGCTTGCGAATGTACTTGCGTGTCTCACAAAGCGAAGCGGTAAAGTTCGCTTTTTAGTAAACCGGCATCACTCTATCATTGTGCGAGAGTACCTGCCACGCCTAATTGACTCTTATTGTTCCGTACACAAGGATGACATTACCGTGACGGAATCGTGAGTAGCTAGTTAAGGCTTGGGACTGGGAGTCAGGTGTTTCCCATTGCTGTGGGAGGGGGAGGGGGGGTGTAGGGGGGGGGGGTTGTTTAGAAGGAAGGAAGGGGGAGGGAGGGGGGAGGAGGAACAAGAGGAGGAGGAGGAGGAGGAGGGAAGGAGGGTCATCAACACCTATGATTCCCGGTAGGCAAGATGGCGGCCATTCCCGGTACGAAAAAAATGTTATCACAACAAAATTAACAGATAACAAAAAATAATAAAAATAACAACAACAACAATGAATAATAATAATAATGACAATAATAACATGATAACAATTATAATAAAATATTAATCAAACAAATAAAACAAAAAATGCGAACATCAAAACCAGAAAAAATATAAGCGACAATAAAGCACTCTTTTCTTTCCTTATTCCTTTCTATCTTTTTTCCTGGTTCGTAGGATGGTTAAAAGGAGCTAAGTTGCGGAAGGCGAAGGCGAGGACCGGGCGAGGGGGCGAGGGGGGGGGAGGGGGCGAGAACGTGGGAAAAATAACAGGTGACTGACTGAATACCCGTAGCATGCCCGTGACTAATTTTTTTCGGCTTTTTCTTGAAAACCGTAACACTAATTTTTGGGGGGAATGTAATGAAAGATTTTTTTTCGCGAGGAAAGAGTTATTTCGGGGGAGGGAAGATTTTTTTTTTTGGTGGGGGAGTTATTGAAGAGGAAAATATTTTTATTAATGGTAGGAGGAGGTCAAAAATATTTAATAGTGATTATTGACAAGGAAAATATATTTTTAACGAATCCGCGAATCATTTTTTTTTTTTTTTGGGGGGGGGGGTAAAAAATTGACGAGGAAGATATTGCTTAAAGAACGCGAGAAACAGATATATAGAGAGAAGCGCAGACGCAGACACATCAAGAAAAAGACACACGCGCGGACGCACACGCACACACTTACACACACGCGCGGGCGGTGCACAGCTCCACCCAGAAGATGGCGCGGGCGGGGAAAATGACCCAATTCCAATCGCGATTCCTCAACCGAATCTCCTTCCTCCCAGTCCTGCACTTCCCGAAAAGGTCGGCTCCTCCTTCCTCTTCCTCCTCGTCATCGTCATCATTAATCGTCATCGTCATCCTGTTCTTCCTCCTTCCTGTTCTTATTCCTTCTTCTTCCTACTCCTCCTCTTCCTCTTTGTCGTTTCCCTCCACCTCCTCCTCCACCTCCACCTCCACCTCCTCCTCTCCTCCCCTCCACCTCCTCCACCCATTCCCCCTCAAATCCACCTCTTCCTCCCACTCCCACTCCCTCTCCCCCTCCTCCTCCACTCCACCTCCTCCTCCAGCTCACCTCCCCCTTCCTCCTCCTCCTCTCCTCCACTCTTCCTCCTCTCCCTCCCCTCCACCTCCTCCTCCACCTTCCTCAAACCTCCCCGTCAACCTTCTACTCCACCCCCCTCCCTCCACCTCGTCCTCCACCTTGCGAAGCTCGTCTGTCCGGTTCGAGGAGGATTTCCCGTTAGTGTGACTGGTCGGTGTCTCTCTCTCTTCCTTGTTTGTAGCGTGTTTTGGCTGCTCCTTCTGACCCTCTTTCGCTCTCTCTCCGATTTTCTTTCTTTCCTTCTTTCTTTTTTTTCTTTCGTCTATTTTTTTCTTTTTTTCGCTTATTTTTTCTCTCTTTCTTTCTTTTTCTTTTTTTCTTTCTTTCTTTCTTTTCTTCTTCAAACTTTCTTTGTTCTTTCTCTCTTTACTTTACTATCTTTCTCAGTCTCTTACCCTCTCCATTACCCTTACCTTCTGCTTCTTCCCTTCTCTCTCTCCCTCATCCCCTTCCCCTCCCTCCTTTTTATACATTATTCATGTCCGTATACACACGTACAAGCACAACTACCAATGCATATAAGTACAAAAGCACACACACGTACGCTTCCCCACGTCAATGCACATACGCGCACGTACGCATGCGCGCGCACACACAAAACACACACACACACACACACATGACCCTCTCCCTTCCCCCACACACAAACACACACACCATATCCCTCTCCCTCCCCTCTCCACTCCCTCTTCCCCCCATACCCCAACACCAAAAAAGCATTATCAAAAAAGAAAAATGAAAAAAAAACTACAAAAACATTATAAAAAAAAAAAAAAAAAACATTATCAAAAAAATAATAAAAAATAAATAAAATAATAAGTAAAATAAAATAAAATAAATGAATAAAAATAATATAATAATAAAGAAACAAAAAATAACCCAAGTACTCACCCTCAGCTCCGTCAGGGTATTCAGCGCCGCCGCCGGGAAGTCCGTGATGAGGTTGTTGAGCAGAGAGAGCGAGCTGAGGGTGTCGTTCACGCCCAGGAAGTCCTCCGCCTCCAACTTCTGCAGGAGGTTCCTCTCGAGGTTGAGCGCCGTCAGGGAGTGCAGGTTCCGTAGAGCGCCTGTGGGAGAGGACGGGAAGGAGTTTGTCTTTATTTTGTATTTCTTTTTTTTTTATTTATTTATTTTTTCATTTGTCGTTATTGTTATAATCTATCATATTACTTTTAATTTGATTATCGAATGTGTAAAAACAGCAAAATAACATCCCTTTATTTTTAATTTTTTGATTTTCTTTATTTACTATCTTTATATTTTCAAGTCCGTTCGCATCTATAGAAAATTCAAGAATAACAACAAAAACAAATACTCCCATCTTTAGTTGTTTTCTTTATGAGAAAAAAAGAGAGCGAGATTATTCTATCTTAACATTTATGCAATTCTGTTCACGTTTATTGTTTTTTTAAGCAACGAAAGATGTCTCCGTACCATTCAACGTTTATTGTTTATTTAATTAACGAAAATCCCATCAACAATTTTCTATCACTCTAACCCAGACAAGTAAAAAAGCAAATAATACTAATAATAAAATAAATAATAACAATAACAATAATGATAATAATAATGATAATAATAATAATAATAATAATAATAATAATAATAATAATAATATAATATAATAACAATTAATAATAATAATAATAATAAATAGCAATAACAAATAATAATAAAATAATAATAATAATAATAAATAATAATAATAATGATATAATAATAATGATATAATAATAATAAATAATAACAATAATAATAATAATAATAATAATAACAAAACTAATAAAAGGAATCAACAACAACATAATCTACGCACCATTCAAAAGAAAGAAAAAACAACAAAAACAAAACAAAAACAAAACAACGACAAAAATCTAGCCCTCCGCGGCGAGGCCAGACGGGGTCCTGACCTGGTTCGAGTCCCCGGATCTGGTTCTGCGCGACGTCGAGGAAGGCGAGGACCGGGAGGTTGAGGATGGCCGGCGGGACGGACCGGAGCTTCGTCCCCTTCAGGTTGAGGTTCTTGAGGGTGCGTTCGAGGCCCGCGAAGGACCCGGATGAGAGGGAGAGCTCGTTGTCCGCCAGCTGCAGGAGGAAGAGGAAGAGGGGGAGGGGGAGGGAGGAGGAGGAAGGGGAGGGGGGGAGGAGGAGGAGGAAGGGGAGGGGGAGGAGGAGGAGGAGGAGGAGGAGAGGAGGAGGAGGAAGAGGAAGAGGAAGAGGAAGAGGAAGAGGAAGAGGAAGAGGAAAGGGGGAGGGGGAGGAGGAGGGGGAGGAGGAGGAGGAGGAGGAAGAGGAAGAGGAAGAGAAGGAGGAGGAGGAGGAAGAAGAGAAAGAGGTTAATAGCCGTTTTGATATGGGGTTACATGGTTATGAATGTAAATCATGTGAATGAATTACATTCAAGCAAATAAAAAAAGACATGACGTAAAAATACAGCGACACAATTCACAAAGCTTCAACAAAGCTCCTGTTGACATGATCATGAATTGCATTTGTCATAGTTATCAACACGCACATGCACTTGTATTGAAAAACAACCGAACTCACTCACCCACTCTCTCTCTCTCTCTCTCTCTCTCTCTCTCTCTCTCTCTCTCTCTCTCTCTCTCTCTCTCTCTCTCTCTCTCTCTCTCTCTCTCTCTCTCTCTCTCTCTCTCTTCTCCTGACACACACAAACATAACATGACCCACACACCTATCCACTCACTCACACATCCATTCACTCAAACCACCATCCACTCACCCACCACCCCCAACCAAAGACCCTCAAAACACCACACACACACACACACCACACACACACACACACACACACACACACACACACACACACGCACACACACACACGCACACAGCCAGCGTACCTTGAGCGTGGAGAGCGCGGGGCCCCTGAAGGCGTCGTCAGGCACCGCCGTGATCCTGTTGCCGGAGAGGTCGAGGAGCCTCAGCTGGCGGAGGCTGGAGATGGCTTCGGTGGGGACGTCGGTGAGGCGGTTGTCCTGGAGGTTGAGGTTCTTGAGCGTGTCCTCCAGGCCCCTGAAGGCGGCGCCGCTGATGTTGTAGATGCCGCACGACGAGAACTGAAGGGGTTGGAGGAGGGCGGAGGGGAATGGCTTAGCGTTGGTGTTGGGGGTTGTAATTATCGCTAATTGCTATAAATGGGTGGTCCTGATCGCTATGGATAGGTAGTTTTCATCGCTATAATTGGGTGGTCCTAATCGTTATAAACTCTTATTGTTACACATGTTATTCTTATCACTGTAAATGGTTCATCCCTATCGTCTGAAATGGATTATCTTTATTCTTATAGAAAAATTATTCTTATCAATATAAATGGCTTGTCCTGAGCGTTATAGAAGGATCACTCTAATACACGATAATGGACCTCTCCTATCGCTATAAATCTATCACTCTTGTGGCTATAAATAGGTCATCCTTATCATTATAAATAGACAATCCATATCAATATAAAAACAACAACCCTATCATTATAAATAGATTAACCCTATTGTTATAAAGTGAACTATCATGAACTTTTAAACAGATAACCGACGCGAATGAAAAATCATAATCGTCACAGACCGCACAGGTTTTCTGGGTTTATGAAAGTTGTAGTGATATCATCAACGCCTTCAGTATTTACGTTATTAACGATATAATCCCTATCGTTATAATCTAGCGACGTTTTGTGGTATCATAATTGTAGTGATATTATCAACACTACAATCATTCTTTAGTGAAAACGCTCATAGGAAAGCTGCATTCGTTGAAAATACTATTTACGTTATAACTCAACTTTATCACCACTATCCCTCTTTATATATACACTTTTCTTAACCCTTAAATATGATCATTCTGAAGGTAAAAGCACAAAGGAAAAAAATAGACGTCGAAAATATCATTTACGTTATAACTCTATCCCTCTTTATACAAGCACTCTCTTGCCCCTTTATATAAGAACAGAAATTCTCTTGGGTAGGATTTTGCACATGACTGGATTTAGCGACTTTAAAGGGGTTGCAATCGGGTCATTTGCGGTGTATTTTCGATATATAATCGTTATTATTTTCGCACCATGAAAAGAATCGACTGTTTATATGATAATCATAATGAAGAGAATGAAAATAATAATTATGATTACAAGAACAAAAAACAATAAAAAGTAATAATGATGATGGTTATGGTGATGATGATGATGATGATGATGATGATGATGATGATGATGATGATAATGATGATATTGATAATGATGATGATGATGACAATAATAAATAATATGGTGATGATGATGATAGTAAATAATGACAACAATAACAATATCACCATTAAAGTATGAAATAAATAGATGAAAATAAAACAACAAGTCTGCGCCCCTCCCCCGCCCGCCGTCCCGCAGCCCGCGACCCGCCGCTCCTCACCTGAATGTTCTCGATGCTGAGGCCGTCGAAGGTCCTGTCGTTGAGAACGCTGATGCGCGTGTTGTTGACGTAGAGGAGGTCGAGGGGCACGGTGCCGGCGCGCTGGTGCAGCACCGTCATCAGGAGCGTGAAGTTGACCGCCGTGCACTGGATGGACAGCTCGTTCTCGACGTTGAAGGCGCACAAGCACGACCCGTTCAGCTCCGTGACCTCGCGCGGCCAGGGGCACTGTGACCTCACCGTCGACGAGGTCAGGAGGAGGAGTAAATCAGCTTTTGAAGGAAGAGGTTCGGGAGGCGGACGAGGCCTGTTCTCCTGCCGCTGCTGGAGGTCGTCGTCGAGGCCGAAGGGACGGGCGTCGACCGGGCCATCTTGGGGACTGGAAAGGCGAGAAAATGACACGAATTTAGCTTTTGGATATACAATAAAACAATGAAAATAATAATAATAATAGTAATAGTAGTAATAATAATAATAATAACAATAATAATAATAGTCATAATAATAATTATAAAATAAGCTATCGGATATATCTTGAGAATTGAAAAGAAAAAAAGGAAAATAAAGAAAATGAAGCTTTTGGATGTCCAGTAAGCAGGGGAGACTGGATAAAACTCGAGTTTGGGAGGATGTAAGCTGGACGAGGACACGGGGGGCGCGGCCAGACAAAGGGCCCGGCGGAACGTGGGCGGGCAGGGTCGTGACGCGGGCGGCGGTCACACCTCCCTCGGCCGCCCGCGTAGAGCACCGGCGAGTCACGCTGCCTCGCCGCCCTCGGGAAAGTCGCTTTTGGATAATAACACGGGGCTTATGTGCGTGTTGATATTTATGGGTGCAACAGTCTGTATATGGATTTTTATATTTTCTCCGCTGTTCTCTCTCTCTCTCTCTTTGTCTCTGTCTCCGTCTTCGTCTCTATCTGTCTGTCTGTCTCCTTCCTTTCCTCCCTCCCTCTCTCCTCAAACTCCATCTCTCCCCTTCCCTCCCTCTCCTTTCCTCTTCTCCCTCCCTCACTCTCCTTTCCTCCTCTCACTCCCTCTCTCTCCCTAGCTCCCCTTCTCTCCCTCCCTCTCCCCTCCTCCCTCTCCCTCTCCTCCCCCTCCCCCCCTCTCTCCCCTCCCATTTTTTCCGTCTTGCATGCGTAAGAAAGTAGGCAACTGAACACTCCCATGTACCGCGTAACACTCTAGCGATCTTCAAGCGGTGTTCAGCTTATAAGGTCCGTGCTTTAACCGACCGCGCGAGCAGAGTCCAGTTCACAATTCCGTTTAAAGATGGCTCTGGTGTGGTCGCCTTGCCGTGGGAATGTGTGTGGATCTTTCTTTTCCCTGGGTCTTTCTTTCTTGTGTTTTGCTCTCTGTGTCTCTGTCTCTGTCTCTGTTTCTCGCTCTCTCTCTATATATATATATATATATATATATATATATTTATATATATATATATATATATATATATATATATATATATATATATAATATATATATATTTCTATCCTTTCCTCTCTTCTTCCTGTCCCTCTCCCTCTCCTTTCCTCTCTCCTCTCATCTCCCTCTTCCTCTCCTTTCATCCTTCTCCCTCTCCCTCTCCCCTCTCCTTTCCTCCTTCTATCTCTCCCTCTTCTTTCCTCCTTCTCTCCCTCTCCCTCTCCTTTCCTCTCTCCCTCTCCCTTTCCTTTCCTCCTTCCCTTTCTTCCTCTCTTTTCCTCATTTCCTCTCACTTTCTCTCTTCTCCCTCTTCTTTTTCTCCTTCTCATCTCTCTCTCTCTCTCTCTCTCTCATATTACAAATACCAATCCTAACCAAACCGACCATTCTTAAAAGCAATGGAATCAAACGAAAAAAAAGTGACCTAAAATACACCACATTTTTGTCGACTCAAAAAAGTGAGACCCAGAAACACATTTTATTTATCTATTTTTTTGTTATCTATTTTCGTTTATCATATATTCGATTACATTCCAACATGTATACACGCGCTTGGGTGTCGTAAGAATTCGTTCGTTTTGACACTCATTCTGCGGTCAGTGAAAGAATAAATACATCGCGGTTTGATTGACAAAAAAAAAAAAAAAAAAAACGAAAAGAAAAAGAAAAGCCAAAATCTGATAACAGACACGTCGTGACACGATAAAAAAAAGTTAAGAGAGTGAAAACCAATAAAATATATCTATCACTTTCGTTCGAGTCCTTGAACGGACGAATCAATGAAGTGTGGCAGAAAAAAGGAAAAAATGTAATCTCAAATTCTCGCTAAGTGGTGCGCAATCTCCGCCATTTGTGCTAGATGCCGTAACCAGGGGCGTAGAGATGCTAATTTAGCGCTAAATTCGCTCACCTCACGCTCGACTCCTCTGTTCTGACTACGCCCGTGTTTGTGGGGGCGTGGTGGGTGGGTGGCATGACGTGTCTGCACCTATGATGTGTGTATATAAGTACACATGTGCGTGCGTGTGCACATAGCGAGGTGTGGGTCAAAACATTTATTTTTTATTTTCAAGCTACATGCTATAAAATCGATGTTCCGTGTCTAGCACTTTATTGCTCGTTTTCTTTTACACATTTTCTACATTCATCTGTTTCTCGTGCACATCGCCATTCTTCCATACGTATTCTCACTTTCCCTTTTCAGATCTTAACCTGTAATCTAACCTTCGTAAAAAGATTATTTTTTTCCCTTTTCAGAATTTCCTTTGTGATGTTAACGACATCTATTTCTCTCATTAAAGCGCTCTCCTTAGCATGAAAAACGATACGAACTTAACTGACACATCGTGAGTTGCTGGGCGGGTTGTGGCATTGGTTGGGGGAGGGGGAGGGGGAGGGCGGGGTGAACGAGTGGGCGGGTTGAGGGGGGGGGGCGAATGAACTCATTGACCCGTTAATTGAAAGTGTTTGTTGTCGTGTGTCATTTTTTATTTTGTCTTTCTCTGTTTGTTTTTGTTTACTGTCTCTTTCTCTGGCCGAGTGGTTGGGTGTTTGTTTTTTCTTTCTATCTGTTTTTCATTTCGTCTGTCTTGAAATTTGTGTCTCCGTCTGTCTGTCTGTCTGTCTGTCTGTCTGTCTGTCTGTCTGTCTGTCTTCTCTCTCTTCTCTCTCTCTCTCTCTCTCTCTCTCTCTTGCTCCCTTCTTTCCTACCCCTCCCTCCCTCCACCTCCCTCCCCTTCCTACTCGCCCTCTTTCCGTCTTCCCTCCCTCCTCCCCTCCCTCTCCCTCCTTCCCTCTCCTACCTACTCTCCGCTTTTGTAAACATAACACAACCCCCCACCCCAAAAATAATAAGAATAATAATGAATAAATAAAAATGAAAATACACAAAAAGAAGAGAAAATAGAAGAAAAAGTAGAATCTTTCCATTATATACCACTCGTGTAAACCGCAGCCATAACAATGAACGTCACACCATACAAAACTACCATTTAAATTCACGGTGATGATGACGTCACAATGTACCATTCCTTCGCGGTGTTCGCATCAGCTGGCACCTACCTGTGACGTCATAGGTTCTCTTAGGGGATACGAGCGAAAAGTTTAATATACGGTTATGTGCGCGCGCGAAAAATGCCATTTTCAAAAAAGCAAAAGAAAAGAAAAGATTGTGGACTGATTTAATTTTGGTATATCTTGTCGAATAATATTTCGGGTTACAGATGATCTAGAGACATGATAGAAGCTCTGATACATGGTGAAGAAAATCGAAACTCAAAATTCAATTTGGCGGGAACTCAATAGTATGCAAATAATAAAATAGTATGCATCTCGTATGTTGTATTTTAAGCGGATGAAAATATAACAAAGATTATTCTTGATTGCTAAATCACAAATTCAACTATTACCACTACTGCCCTTAAAACCAGTTCTATTACTGTATGATAATATTGTTGATAGAATATCAATATCATTTCCAATAATGGTAATGATGATGGTAATGATAATGATAAAATGTACAATACCAAATTATAATAAAAGCAAATGTAATAACAGAAATGGAAGTAAAATAAAAATTGCTATTAACAACAATGATAATAATAATTACGATAATGATGGTAACAATAATAATAATAACAAGAACATATACAACAAGAATAACAAGATTTATAATGATCATGTAAAATTGTTGGTAATTATAAGAATGATAATAATAACAATAACAAAGCCAGAAAATGAAGTAGTACATAATCATAACAATAATTAATTAATAAAATGATGATATATAAAAATAATAATAATATTAATAACAGTAATGATAATAATGATAATAATAACAACAATGATAGTAATAATAACAATGATAATAATAATGATAATAACAAAAATAAGAGTAATAATAAGAATTACAATAAAACAACAATAATAGAGCCATTGACAATAACGTAATAATAACTAAAACAGTAATGAAAACAATAAAGAAATAACAATTCATAACAAAACCCAGTCATGCCTTTCCAAATTAGTCAATATTCGGCAAAATATTCTCGAAAATCGTGACAAGTGGAACATTGAAATAAACTGGTTAGTGGAGAGAGAGAGGGGGAGGAGAGCAAGATAGATAGATAGATAGATAAATAGATAGAGTGATAGAAGCTTAGGTAGATAGATGGATAGAGAAAGTGTGTGTGTGTGTGTGTGTGTGTGTGTGTGTGTGTGTGTGTGTGTGTGTGTGTGTGTGTGTGTGTGTGTGTGTGTGTGTGTGTGTGTGTGTGTGTGTGTGTGTGTGGTGTGCGTGTGTGTGTGAGAGAGAGAAAGAGAGAGAGAGAGAGAGAGAGAGAAAGAGAGAGAGAGAGAGAGAGAGAGAGAGAGAGAGAGAGAGAGAGAGAGAGAGAGAGAGAGAGAGAGAGAGAGAGAGAGAGAGAGAAGAGAGAGAGAGAGAGAGAGAGGAGAGAGAGAGAGAGAGGAGAGAGACAGAGAGACAGAGAAAACAGAAAGAGAGAGAGAGAATGAACGAGTGAGTGAGTGCATGTTCGATCGAGTCCGCGCGTGAATGAGAACACTTTATGTGCGAATACGTTTACATATTCTAATTAGTTTTCCTTAACCCGCGCAAAAGCTTATGCGAATTAACGTCCCAAGGCCCGCAATTGTCAACGCGAAGGCACGATGAAAAAAAGTGAAATAATCTTTATGAAAGCGAACACACAACGAAATTAAGCACAATGCGCGAGGGAGAAAGACAAAGACCATAAATCGTAAAAAAATGTAAAAAAAAAAAAAAAAAAAAAAAAAAAAAAAACAAGGACAGAGCGAGACGACTTTCTTGTTGGTTAATTATACCTTCACCTTATTCTTGAGAGAAACAGGAAAAAAAATAAAAAAAATAAAAAGTATGCGGTTCCTCCTCGACCTTGTGCGTGTGTGGGGTAGGGGGGGGGTGAGGGCGTGTGTTGTGTGTTGTGTGTTGTGTGTGTGTGTGTGTTGTTGTGTGTGTGTGTGTGTGTGTGTGTGTGTGTGTGTGTGTGTGTGTGTGTTGTGTGTGTGTGTGTGTGTGAGTGAGTGAGTGAGTGAGTGAGAGAGAGAGAGAGAGGAGAGAGAGAGAGAGAGAGAGAGAGAGAGAGAGAGAGAGAGAGAGAGAGAGAGAGAGAGAGAGAGAGAGAGAGAGAGAGAGAGAGAGAGAGAGAGAGAGAGAGAGAGAGAGAGAGAATGAGTGTGTGTGAATGAATGTGTTTTGTATACGTATGTCCGCGTTGTACACGCATGAGTATTGTCAATGTTTTTTTTAATCTATTTTATTTATATATCTATTTACTTATTTCATATATATCTTTTGTGTGTGTGAGTGTGTACGCGAGACCCCTGAGGGCAAATCGGGGCACTGCTTTGGGGTTCGTGTGACCTTTCTGTTATTGTTTTTCTTCTTACTTCATTTACATGTTACATTGTTAGGCTAATGTCAAGGAATGACACAACTGCAGCAAGAAACAGAAAAATCACATCACAATGTCATATCTGTACACACACGTTTACACACACACACTACATTACATACACACACACACATATATATACATACATACACACACATAATTATACATACATACATACATGCATACACCCTGATGCACAAACACACACACACGCTCACACACACACGCACACGTACTCACATATACGCACATACACATGTACACACAGATGCAAATTCAGCTCTCGCAACGGAGAAGAAAAAAATGGTGTACAGACTAAATTGGCTCACTAAGTATGCACTTCTGACTGTAAACTGAAAAAAATAGTCTAGTCAGATTAACACGAAAGCAAACTTCAACAATGGAATGCAACATAGCCTCCTCTGCAACACTGCATCTTAAAATTCCTCGGATCACTATATACCACACTGTTGAAATCACCAATAATAATCTTTAAAAAAAAATTAATTCCTTCGATTTTCATTTCTTTCTTTATCATATATCTTTTGTATTCGTTCCAATCTGGACATTTGCAAGAGTATTTCATTTTGCAACGACCTGCAAAACCTCCTGCACCTCACTCGGGGAAGGTCGGAGAGTTGTGCAACTGCAACCTGGACACATTTCACCGGCCTGCGGCTACTCTCCGTGAGAACCTGCGCCGCATGACCTATACAGGTGCACACGCAAACGCACACGACACCCACTGATACACCCACCCACACCACCACACACACACACACGCACACACACACACACACACATACACACACACACACATATATAGATAGATAGATAGATAGATAGATAGATAGATAGATATAGATATAGATATAGATATAGATATATACATGTGTGTATACACGCATACATGCATATATATATACATATACATGCTTACCTATATTCATACATACATACTCAAAAATATGTACATGCATAAGTTAATACATGCTTACAAATATACATACACATAAAAACATACACAGATATATATGACTACATGCATACATGTACACCCACACAAACACACACAAGCGCACACACAAACACACACACACACACACCAACACACACACAAACAAACACACACACATAGAAACAAACACAAGCGTCGACCACATAGATACAACAGCAAAATAGAAACACGTTGGCCATGAGAAACCGATGAAACTCGCCATAATCTTCGTATTACTCGGAGTAAACACGACTTCACGGCTACAGTAAAAAAATAAATAAATGTGGCGTCTTATTTTTCTTCACAATTTCGTTTTATTTTTTGTTCCCAAGAAAAGATGGACCGAGTGACAGCCGAGCCGAGCGCCTTGGACAAGATTCTTCAAGACGTTCAACTGATGAAGGTTCTCTTGTTATCAGTCCTTGGTCAGGGCGGACGAAAGCCGTTGAATCAGCTGTTTAAATAGTCCAGCTGGCAGCTTAAAGTTCAGAAAATCCGACGTTTTAATTATCTCTGCAGTTAACCCGCTTTTATCGTAATGGACTTCCCAGTAACATTAGAAAATAATAACAAACAATACTAATCGGCAACCGATCATTCATAAAAGGAAAGCTAAGCTCTTCGACGTAAAATGAATAAACAGATAAATGAGTAAATAAACAAAATAATGATTATAACAACAACAATGATAATAACAATAACAATAAGGATGATGATGATGATGATAACAATAATGATAATAATAATTAACATCATTGTTATGATGATAACAATTATCATTATAAAAATTACTATTGTTATGAAAAAATATCAGTGTTATAACAACAATTATCATTGTTATAATAATAACAATAACCATTACTATTTATCATCATCATAGTATTGTTATGATAATACTAATGATAATTATCATTGTATATAATAACAATAACCATTACTATTATAATCATCATCATTAGTATTGTTATGATAATACTAATAATGATATCATTATTATCAGTTGTAATAATTAATAATTATTACTGTTACAATACTAACAGTATTTATTATCATCATTATTGCTATAGTCATAATGATAATAATAATAATAATGACAAATACATGAAAAAGTTCAGTCAGCGGTGTGAGTCGTCACCACCTGCAGGCGAGGCAAGGAGCTGGCCGGGACTGAAGGACGTCGAAGCAGGGTGGTGAGGGGGGGAGGAGGAGGGTGTGGGGAATGAGGGCGGGTGGAGGAAGGGAGGAGGGAAGGGGTTTGGGAGATGGAAGTGGGGTTGAAGAGGGAGGGAAGGAGGGTGGGAGAGAGACGGTATGGAGGAGAAGGAGGGGAAGGGCGAAGACAAGGAGGAGGAGGAGGGAAGAAAAACAAGGAAAAATAATAAGGAGAAGAAGGCGGAGAGGGAAAAAATAAGAAATAGCGCTGGAGGACGAGGAGTTAGAAAAGAATAAAATAAATAAAAAGGAGAAAATGAAGGGGATAAATGGTGAGAGAAGCATAGAAAAATGGGAAGAAATAGAAAAATAAGAAAAAAAGGATACATGTATCTGTTTCTATATTCACCATTTTAATCATCGTCATTTATATATATGCTTCATTCATTCTAAGTCCTATTATTGACGGTAGATAAAAGTACATATATAGCTCAATCTACTTATCCGTACGTATGTATCTATGTATCCCAATAAATCATATTTTACCTTTACGAACATACAGACATCACATACCACATACGCACATTAAAGTAGACACACCCACATACAAACATACTTCACACATCCCCATATATACAGACAACTACACACACCCATATAAACACACAGAAAAGTAGAAACACGCAAAAAACTTCACACAGATAACCATACACACCCACACAAACACATAGAAAAGTAAAAACCCTTTCAAATAAACCTATCAAAGGACCTCCACAACTAAAGCATTCCAACAACCGGATCTAACAAGGGAAACCGAGCCACTGCTGCTGCTGCGTCTGGCCGTGGCATTACTAAATGTTTTCAAGCGATCTTCTTTTACTTTCTTCCGACCCCCTTTTGCGGCTCTCCCAGGCTCGCTGAGAACCTCGGTTTTCTAGAACTCATTCACGCGCGCCCGCTCGGAGCT